AACTGTAGCACGAACCTCCTGTTTTTCCTCACTTGTTGGAAGCTTTTTTTTCTCATATTTTCTGTAATCCTCAGATTCTCTGCCCATTCATGCTCCATAAATCATCTGAAACGGCCTCATTTTATGACTGTTGTGACTTCAATGAGAAGACGGGAAAATTAGTTTAGTCTGCCAAATATTTCACAGGTGAAGTTTTCAGAGAAAACCCATCTGTCTTCAGGTTTACCGCACAGGTGTGTACTAGTTCTATTAGATCTGCACGACTACCTCCACGGGAGCTCTTTTTATTTATGAAATAAGATGAAAGGGTATACTTTCTCATGATTTGTGGATTTAACTGTATTAAATACAGAACATACTCCCACAGCGGTCGTCCTTAGTGAAAAGTGTTCTAAAACTACACCTCGTTCAAATTATTATGCAAATGATATTTTTCTCTGTTTTTCCTAAATAGTCGATTCAAATGACAGTCGGCATAATTTTCGAGTCATCGACCAATAGAGTATAATTCAAATGTTACTGAACAAAACTCCCAATGAAAACAGTATGTTTTTCAAAAATAAAAAACTTAAAATGCACTGTTCCAAATTATTACGCACACAGAGTTTCAAAAGATTTTATAGGTTGTAGAGAATTGAAAATGGTCATTTGTTGAATTTGCAGCATTAGTAGATCAATTTCACTGAAATCAAAAGCTATTTCAATCAAAAACATCTTAACAGGTCAAGTTACATATTAACATAGGACCCCTTATTTGATAGCAGTTTTACAATTCTTGCATCCATGGAACTTGTAAGTTTTTGGAAAGTGTTCTGCAGGATGTCAGAATAGCCTCCCGAGCTGCTGTTTGGATGTGAACTGCCTCCCACCCTCATTTTTTTTTTTGTTTTGTTTTTGAGGATGCTCCAAAGGTTCTCAATAGGTTGAGGTCAGGGAAAAGTGGGGCCACGCAAGTCTCTGGAGGATCCTACACCTTGATGTTCGCAGGGCTCCAGAGGCACCAGCAGCTTCAAATATGTGTTTGCTGCTTTGTAATGGCCTTTTAGCAGCTGCTCTCGTATTTTCTGGCAGAAACCTTCATCATTGTGCCTTTATCTGCACAAACCCATGTGTGCTCTGACTCAGCCACAAATCTCTTAACATTATGGTGATCACGCTTAAGTTTTCATGAAATATCTAAGGTTTTCATTACGTGTCCAAGGCATTCAACTATTTCACGCTTTTCAGCAGCAGAGAGATCATTTTTCTTCCTATATTGCTTGAAAATGGTGGTCTGCTTAATAATGTGGAACATCCTCCTTTAGTAGTTTTTCCTTTAATTGGGCTCACCTGGCAAACTAATGAACACAGGTATCCGAGACTGATTTCAGTGACGCAAAGAGTCGTGAGACACAATTCCATCCAAGGGTTTAATTGAAAAACAACTTATTTAATCTTTATGACACTTAAACACAATTTGCATATTAATTTGGAGCACTATGTAGAACCTGGAGCGAGTAATTGAGCTATGAGCATCTTTACTGGCAAAGTGAAAAATAATTTTAAAAAAAAAGTGATTATGGTCCAAAAATGGAAGTATGTGGGACAAAAAACGTCAAACATCTTTGTTGCCTGATTTATGACTCGGACACTTTCCTGATGCGTTCACAGCCACAGTCGTTCCTACAATCTCACAATGACAAGCTGAAAGATTTACTGAAGGCAACATTATGCTCACTCTGTAACATATGACACCCATGTGCAGTGATCCTCCTTCCACCCTGAGCTTGTCAAACACTGCACTGGTGAGCGTGCTCTGTGTGTCGTCATGGTGGGACTTGAATTTGTAATATTTCCATCGACCGTCTTAAATTGTTGCATATAGCTTCTGACTGAACGCCGAGGCCATCGGGGAGCGACTTGTGTCGCTGGTTATGAGTAAAATGACCCTTCAGATCCTTTACATGCTAGTTACATATCACTCATAGTTACTGTTCACTGCAGAATGACGCCGTTCTGCTACCTTATGATTGTTGCCTATGAGAGCAGACTAAGAAGAGTTAGACTGATCAGTGATTGCAGACTCTGTAAAAAGTACTGACCTTTAGTCAAGGTACCAGCTTGTGCCACTGGTAGGTGAACTTTAAGGCAGTGCTAAAGGGTGAGGTCTTTGCATAGCTGCATCATTGGAAAACATCTGCACTGGCTTCAATCAAATATAAGCCCACTCTGGCTGGGAAGATGTTATGGTTATCCCGAGGAGCTCCGTGGATATCTCACCACCTGTGAGGAGTGGTTAAAAAGACTTGAAATGTCGCTTATTTGTGCCTGTATCATCAAAGTACCAGTAACAGTGGGGTTAGTCATATATACTGAAGGAGAGAGGGGCAAGGTGCTACATGCCAGAGCCTGGGGAAAGAGGAGAAGAGACGAGTTAATCTCACATGATCTCCTGGGGAAGTAAACCTCAGTAAAAACCGATGCAGTATATGACGTAAAGGCTTTGAAAAATGATCCCTTTAATGAAAGAAAGAGTTGTGCCATGAAGTACCCAAACATGTAAAACTGAACTTGTAGAGCTGTATAAGGGCAGAACGGCGTCTGTTTTTTCTTCCTTCGGTCTTATCCAGAATGCGTGACGTGCTTTCAGGGAGCTCGGTCGGTTCACATTCCTGCAAAATCACGCTTTTCCTTAAGTGTGCCAAAGTGGACACCGCACAACAAATGTTGTACGTGTTGACCAATCACAGTTGAAATGGCTAATTCACTAAAGTTGAAAAGTCTGCATGTTTTAAATCTAAATGTTTTTGCATGTGTAATGTCTTGGACGCAGTTTGTGAGAAGATTATCTTCTTTTTTTAATAGGCATTGGTTTTGCATTGGCATTGGCTAATTTGCCAATTGTATGTTAAAATGTTCGTATTTTAATATTAAAAAATGTTTTTGCCCAAAACATATGTGCACTACATGGCAGTAAAAATACTACGCAAATACTGCTGTCCTTGACTGCTGAATAAACACCAACTGATTGTATCTCTTGTACTTTATCAACGCAGTATCTAACAACTTTGCACCGTAGTGGTTAAAATCTCATTCTAATAAGAGTTAAAAGCGCATTCGGTTATTAGGTTTATAGGATTATTGAATTATGGTTAACGGTTGGTAGAATTGTTTTTAACATTATCTGACAATTACATCTGCCACCCTTCTCCAAATCTGTGCCCCTACCTGGCCCCCCCAACAAAAATTTTCTAGACACGCCACTGCCTGAAAGTCGATGAGCTTTTGCTCAAACTGCAGACACAAGCTGGGCCTCGCATCTCTCTTCAAAATAAAAGCTGACGGCTTGAACAACTACAACTCTTCTCACTCCACCTATTTCATGAAGGAACGTCTGCTGCTATTTATCAAGTGTACCGAGAAGGATTTCAGCAGATTTGATTTCACGGAAAAAATAAAATAAATAAATAAAAATAAATAAAATGCTGATAATATTGATTACATGGTTACAGTCGGTTTCTCATTACGTAAAGTTTTTGTTTTTACAGAAACAGAAACTTCTTCTATATGGCTGAAAGCACACGACAGTACGTGGCTCCAATTTCCCAGATTTCTTGCACGATCGTCCGGCTCAGGTGGAAATAATCTGACAGGCTCTGAATGTCTATGAGAAGGAAGTGTGAAATACAGTGACCCCGAATCCTAAACCATCACTCCCACTTAATCCGACATGTCAAACTCCGTCTAGACTCTGAACGATGAAGTGCCATTTCCCTTCATTCTCCTATAAAAAGCGGCAGCTTTACTTGTGCCAGCAGGGATAAAGCTACGCTGTTCTCCTCAAAGCCCGAAAGGCTTCAGTAAGAAAAATATGTCCCCTAAAAAAAAAATTTAAAAAAAAAAAAAAAAAAAAAAAAAAAGGATTCACTGCGCAAGCAGCTTGGAGTACCGCAAGCGATGACGAGGTGCCTCGTCTTCTTCTGCTGCCGTCTTTCATGTCAGCTTTATGATTACGGGGTGTGAGAGAAGGAGAACCTAAGGCGACAGGCATCTAACAGCACCACTAGGCAAGGCATCCTGCATCCCTTTAATTAAAGCTAATAGGCAGCAATTACCAGGAATCAGTCAAGAGACGGTTAATACCAACACTGCCTCTAATAATAATTAGAACATCAACAGCAGGCATTCAGTTCGTGCTGGTGCACACATGCCTCGCACCGCTCCAGGATTAGCCGGGCTTTAAAAGAAAACACAACTAGATGGGAGTAGCTCGCCATGTCATGTCTGTGTCATGTTTATGCCCTCATTACAATTTATATGCTCACTAGAAATATGGCATTATGTTACCCTTTAAAAAATGTGACTGCATCAAAAGGTTAAAATTGAGTGTTTACATGAAACGCTCCAAATCTGCCCCAGATTATTATGAGTCTGTACACGGTTACTGATAGTTTAAATGTGCATGTTTACGGTGCTCACATGAGTGTAATCCAGCCTAAATCAGATACAGAGTAATGAATGGAGTCTCCGTCCAAATGTGAGTGAACGCTGAACGCGCTTATATTCAGTGCGGCTGCTCTTTATGGGTAAATCATGACGATATTAAGCTTATACGCGGTAAGTAGATCAAACTGCAGTTACATGAGTGGGACAACAATGAGAAAGCTCGCGCCAGAGCTGTTAATCACCTTTTGAGGGCTAAAGCTTAAATGCACGCTGCTGGCCAGAGGAGACGGATCCGTCTACTTACAAACAACACGGCAGATCGATTCCCCCGAACTGGAGCGCCGTGAGCTGTCCACGGAGGAAGGGGAAGTGATTTTGGGCTTCGTCTAACTGCGCTTCCAGCCAAACCACTTGGATAGACACACTGACGCTCGTGGACCCAAACAACACACAGCTCCCTTACACGCACCGCGGCTCACACTCGCACACTTTCTCCTCAGAAAGGTCTCGGAAGTCCAGTGAAACTGTGAGCAGTGCTGCAGTCAACAACTGTGTGCAGGCCCCGTGGTACCTACCGTGCTCGGTGTCTCCCGGTGCTTTCGCTTATTATCGCCGGTGGAATCCACAGCACGCGACGCAGCGTAACCCCAAACAGAGGCAAAAATAATAATGGCAACAAAACACAAACGAACCAGCTCCGGTAAAGTTAGAATATCCACAAGAGCCCGGAAACAAACCGTACAACCGGGGAGGGAAAAAATAAAGCAGCAACAAGTCTAGAGGACAGCGGAGTGTTTATCGTGGGAGTGTGTCCTGAGAAACACCCACCCACACGAGCTCCAGCTATCTGCTCTCCAGAGGCAGGAGGCGGTGGGCTGGGACTAAACCGGGCAGCACTGATAGGACGGTCACACCGTCCGCTTTAACCCGCTCACTGCCACACGCCACAGCGGTGGCACGCGCATATATAATAAGAATAACAATAACTTTATCCTATGCTACATCCTGAGGGAAATTCTTTTGTCATGTACATGCTCAAAGCAGCAGGAGAGCCAGAGGAACAGATGAATAGTAGTGCACAGTGATATACAGTAAGAAAGTTATTTGATACTATGCCTTGCACTAACGAAGTAATATTTATAACTATATCCTGGAGAATAAATAACTTAACTATCAGTGCAGGCGATTCTAGGAAGTGACATAGTATTGTGCAATAGAATAAAGGGAGTAGCAGCGTATAATGGGGGGATGAAACAAATATTCAATAAGGTACTGTTGGGTAATATTGCACGGTCT